ACATCACACTTGAAAATCACTATCAAGTGAAGTTGAAATTTTACCTTTAATTTGAAGAGAGATACAAAAATTTCTTTAGAAATGTGTTCTATTACTTCGGTCGCTAACACTATAGACGGCAGTTGTACATAGTCAACAAATATATAATGTTTTCTTATACAATTTTTTTATCATTGCATACATATCAAATAGTTATTGTAGTATGAATTAGTATTTTATTGAAGTTGTATCAATTTAACTTAACCTATGTCTTCATTAGGATAACTAGTAATCACTGTCAATTCCATGGTATACACCTGCAAAGATAAAACAAAACAATTACTTGTTATAATGAAAACGTAATAACAATCGGCATATGAAATTTTTATATATGTATAAATCATAGTTGCACATGTAGATTGTTTGAAAATGAGATATTTCGACGTACTCTTTTGTCTAATGGTTTCTTTTAAATATTATGTTTAATTAATTTAAAAAGGAAGGGATAATGTACAAGTACCCCCTCAACCTATGCCCGAAATCTCAGAGACACACTTATACTATACTAAGGTCTTATTACACCCCTTAACTTATTTTACAAGTAATTTTCTACCCCTTTTTAGCCTACGTGGAACTAGTTTGAAAAAAAAGTCAACCATCGTTGGGCCCACAAGATAATGCCACGTAGGTCGAAAAGGGGTAAAAAATTATTAATAAAATAAGTTCAGGGGGGGTAATAGGACCTTAGTGTAGTATAAGTGTGTCTCTGAGATTTCGGGCATAGGTTAAGAGGGTACTTGGGCATTATCCCAAAAAGGAAAGGTAATTCTTGTTTTTATGAAATAAGTTCTGTAAGAAAGTCAAAAGTGCTTGGATAGGTATGGTTTCTACTAACTTTTGAAAAGCTTCTATTACTTTAAGTGTCTAAAACCTATGTAATATGCAAAGATGAATGACAAAAAAAATTATTGCTGAACCTTATATTTTCTCTAAAGTTTCAAATACTAACCGTGATATCAAAAGGACTTTTTCTTAAGGGATCTGTGAAGGTAAAGAAATAAGGTTTTCTTCAATTCTTCTAAAGTGAGTGAGCTAGCAACAGTAACATGTTATCTACCAACTTTTTGGGTGCAGGCCCTCCCATGTTTACAGGAGAAATTTACCACATATGGATGCTAAAGATGAAGGCTTATCTCAAAGCTCTTAGTTTATGGGAAACAGTTTAAAGTTACGATGAGCCTCCTCCCCTTGGGCCAAATCCAATAGTTGCACAAATGAAGATTTACCAAGATGCAAAGTCAAGGAAATCAAAGAATCTCACATGTCACCATTCAACACTTTCAGATGTGATTTCCATAAAAATAATATCTTGTGAAACAGTTAAAGAAGCATAGGAGAAGATAAAAGAAGATTCCCACAGAAGTGAGAGAGTGAAGATTGTCAAACTTTTAACTCTCAAAAGAGAATTTGAGATGATAAGGATGGAATAAGGACATACTGTAAAAGAGTATTCTGAAAAACTTGTGGATATTGTTAGCAAAATAAGGTTGTTAGGTAAAACCTTTCTCGATTTAAAGGTGATGGAGAAGATGATGATAAGATTACCAACAAAGTTTGAGTCAAAGATTTGACCTATAGAAAAATCTTGTGATTTTAAGACTTGATCTATTGCGGAACCGATCAACAAGTTGCAAGCCCAAGAACAAAGATTAAGTATAAGAGATAAGAAATAATAGAGTGGAATTTTAGGCACAACATAAATGCAAGCAACTTATGAAAAACAATAGAAGGATGGAAGGAGATAAAGTAGCAAATAAAAATGTCACGCCCCAAATTAGTTCTGTGATCGGTGCTAAGGGGAATGAATCCCAAAGCAAGCCTTAACATAAATCTATAGAAAATCTGGCATAGTTTTCTTTGTTTTAGGCCTATCCTGAATTTTCCTTGCCTCACTATCAACCACAACATAGTATACATCAATGATCTAATTATCACACAATAAAACCAATTCATCTCCAAATTATGAAAAAGAAGTTCCAAACTAGTCACTTGACTACAATACGAAGGACTATAATGATGACTCAAATCAAAGGAATGACAAATGGAATTACTCTATGGGTTATTAAAGAAACTAAATAAACCATATTGAATCAATAGTTCTCTTTGTGGGGTCCATACCCATTGTAGATAAACACAATGAGAACTAAAATGCAGAAAATGTTGGATTAATGTTTGTTGCTCATTGTTAAGAGTCAACAAATGCTACAACAAGCCAAAGCTCACTATTTCTTTTTCAACGAAAATCTTACCAAGAAATCTTCATAGGTGCAAAGGTTGAAATCTTGTGTTTTTGTGATGTCACTGGTGACATCATTATGAGTAGATTTCTCCTATAAATACAGAGCCCTTGCTCGTTTCAAAAATACACCAAATTAGATAGAAAAACCATTTTGAGAGCAAACTGAGGTATTCATAGACTATACAAGAAAAATAGTATGTGAAGAAAAATAGAGTGCGAACGATATTTTAGTAAGGTGGAAACCAAAAGAGTGTTTTCCTTTTCAGTGTGTAGTAGTCACTTTGAGTATTGTATTCTTGACTACACAGTGTAAAATTCCTTATTATAGTGATACCAGTTGCTCCTCTTGGCCTATGGTTTTTTTCCCTTTATTTAGAAGGGTTTCCACGTAAAATTCTTGGTGTCATTATTTTCTCATTTTATTTCCATTACTTTTACTTTATATATTTTTGTGTTTGTCCGCATTTTCCCAACAAACTGGTATTAGAGCCAAGGTTTATTTGAGTATGATAGGTGGTTGCAGCACAACCTGAACTTCCACATCAGAAAAAATTTACTTTGATTTGCGATAATAATATTTATTCGAGAAAAATAATGAAAGCCAAAACAAACAGAATTGTTACTTTGAATGATGTTAATTATGCCATTTTGAAGGGGAAAATGGAAGTTCTTCTTTATGTCAAGAACTTTTACAAACCAGTATTTACCACTGTAAAGTCTGATAATAAAACAGATGAAGGGTGGAATCTGTTACACAAACAGGTTTGTGGATTCATTAGGCAATGGGTCGACGATAATGTGTTGAACCATATTTCTGGGGAAACATATGCTCGAATCCTATGAGAGCATCTTGAAAGTTCGTATGCTTAGAAAACTGTCAATAACAAAATGTTCTTAATAAAGCTAATGTTGAGTTTAAAATATTATGATGGTTCTCCGATGATAGACCATCTGAATAATTTTCAGGGGATCATGAATCAATTATCTGCTATAGGCATCAAATTTGATGAAGAAATTCAAGGCTTACTTTTACTTGGTTCCCTACCAGACTCTTGGGAAACATTTAGAACTTCATTGTCAAATTTTGCTCCGGATGGTGTGATCTCTATGGATTCCGCCAAGAGTAGTGTCTTGAACGAAGATATAAGAAGAAAACTCAAGGTTCTTCTTCGTAGGATGCCGTGATAACTGGCCCTAGGGGGAGAACAAAAATCATGGTTCTCAATATAGAGAACAAAATAGGAGCAAATTTAGAGGAAGACTTAAGGATATTGAGTGCTATCATTGTGTCATGAAAAAGCACACAAAGAGTTCTGCAGGAATTTGAAGAGGGAGAACAAAAACAAAGAGTAAACTAAGGAAGATGGAAATGAAAATTGCCTGGCCACCGTTACCACCAAAGATCTTGTTACTGTCCTTGATGGGGATATGATACATATTGCTTGTGATGAGTCAATCTGGGTTGTGGACACTGGTGCCATATCTCATGTGACATCACGAAAGGATTTTTTCTCTTTCTATACTCTTGGTGATTTTTGAACCTTGAGTATGGGTAATGAGACTTTTTCTAGGGTGGTTGATATTGGTACAATTTGTTTGGAAACTAGTGTTGGAACTAAACTAGTTTTGAACAATATGAAACATGCTCCTAATGTTCGTCTGTACCTAATTTTTATTGGGGTTTTAGATGATGAAAGATATGTTAGTACCAACGATGATGGAAAATGAAAGCTCATTAAGGGTTCCTTAGTTTTGGCTCGTGGTAACAAACGTCGTGGTCTATAATTGACTATGGTATCTACTTGTGTTGATATGGTGAATGCAGTTGAGAGCGATAACTTCTCAACGTTATGACACAAGAGACTCAGCCACATCAGTGAGAAAGGACTTAATGTTCTAGCCAATAAGAAATTTTTGTCAAATTTCAAAAGTGCTAAATTAGAAAAGTGTGAGCACTGCTTGGCTGGTAAACAAAATAAATATCTTTTACGTCCTACCCTTCTTCTAGAAAGATAGAGTTGCTTGAGTTGGTGTATTCTGATTTATGTGGTCCAATGAAGACAAAGACATTGGGTGGTGCACTCTACTTTATCACTTTCATTGATGATTGCTCGAGAAAACTTTAGGTCTATATCTCGAAGACTAAAAACCAAGTGTTACGTGTCTTCAAGAAGTTTTAGGCTTTAACTGAAAGAGAAATTGGAAGGAAACTTAAATGTATTTGTTCTGATAACGGTGGTGAATATTGTTGATCATTTGACAAATACTGCAAGCATCAAGGTATTAGACACCAGAAGACTCCTCCCAATACTCCTCAGCTTAATGGTTTGGCTGAGAGGATGAACAGGACCTTGATGGAAAGAGTTAGATGTTTGCTAACTGAAGCAAAGTTGCCGAACTCATTTTGGGGTGAAGCTTTATTGACCGTTGCACATGTTATTAATCAATCTCATGTTGTTGCTTTGCAAAGTGATGTACCAAATAGTGTTTGGTATGGAAAGGATGTTTCCTATGACCATCTGAGAGTATTTAGTTTCAAAGCTTTTGTACATGTGCCGAAAGATGAGAGGTTAAAGTTAGATGCCAATACAAGGCAATGCATCTTCATTGGATATGGCCTAGATGAATTTGGTTACGGGCTATATGATCCAATTGAAAAGAAACTTAGCCGTGATATTATTTTCATGGAGAATCAAATCTTTTGGTGAACAAATAGAAAAGTTTAGTACTTGCACTGATCCATATTCCTTAATGATGATGTCGGGAATGACTTTGCATCCAGAGAGTCATGACTGTTATTTTTGGAAGTTTCACCCATATACGCGCCAAAAGGATCAAATCTCACCACTTTATCACCATACCCTTGGACATTGGAGCAATAGTTTGGATATGTTAAGTTGACATTAACTCTTTTTGCAACCTAAGCGACAAAATGGAATCATAAATCTTCCATTAAAATGGAATAAAAAGCATAGGTATTGTCCAAATAAATTGCTTAAAGCATAACAGTATAAACTCTTACTCGACTATACTGCCCATGCAAGGTGTTAGTTTTTCGATCTTGTACATCACTGTACATAAATGCAAACAATAATTAGTTTGACATAATACGTGATACGCTCAAACTTACTTCTCAAATGAGAAGTAAAGTGGTCGCGTCAAGTAAATAACCCAACTAGTGAGGTTGGGATCGTTCCCACGAGGAAAATAGTCTAGACTTAACTTCAACTTGTTATTACTATTGTTCGGTTGATGACTTCCTTAGAAAGTAAAAACATAAAAAGGGGGGTTTTTATTTCCTAATAAGTGAAAATAACTAACGAACTTGACAGAGACACTTAACAGCTTTTAATTTTGGGTTTTAATCAATTAATCAAAGTAACTAGGGTTTACGTGTTCCCACAGGTTCATAACTTGGTAATTCTAACTATAACAGTTCTTTCCTAGTATCTTGCATGCAAAGTGATAAGTTATGTATTTCTAAATCCTTGGTCCGGCATCTAGAAAATCTCACTCCGCACCTTGGTCCGGCTGCGTGTGTTGCTTTCCTAACCCTTATCTTTACCTCATATTAAGCATCGTATTCGATATTTGACTAAGTTATTACCTCGTACCAATCAATACTAGCCTATTAGATAGTATACACTAAATCTATGTTAATAATTCTTTTCCTATTATCTACCTCCTTGGTCCGGCAAGTAGCATTAAGGCGAGTTCTAACATTGATCATCCGTTAAAAAGACTTCTAAGCGAAAGAATTATTAATACATGCAAGACACTATTCTAGAATTGTTATTTTAGCTAGGGTTTATCTCATTATTTGCCTAGGTTCCCACAACCCTAGTTATGGAGTTTAGTTCCTCATAGCCATAAACAAAATATTCAAATATATTAAATAAGAATTTATGTACTTACTTCAATGAGAAAGAGTAAAGTTCGAAAAATTGCTTGATTAATCACCAAAAATCACTTGTAAGAATCTCTAAAAATCAAACACTCAAACACAAAGTCTAATAATATGATGTTTTATCTCCCAGAGTCTAACCTCAAAAATGAGGTTTTTCGAACTATTTATAAAAAAATAAAAACCTAATTAAACAAGGATTCTAATTACTGGAAATCTGCCAAAACGCGGCTGAGTCAACGGACCACGCGACAGACCGTCGTGGTCATAACGGACCGTCGTGGACTCCGTCGTCCCATGCTTGGTGCAATTTCTTCTGCTGCTTTCTTCCTTCCCCTCGACGGCAAGTGTGACGGACCGTCATAGGCACAACGGTCCGTCGAGGGTCTCGTTTCAAAATACTTCAACTCTTGGAATCTGGTTACTGGAATCACTTCTCTGATCTTCACGATGAACCTGCAGGAAAGACCGTCATAGCCATGACGGACCGTCACAAGCTTCGTAATACCACACTTGGTCAGACTTCCCCATCTTCCTTTAGCAGCTTCTCTGCGCTGCCACCTACGGACCGTCACATGCACGACGGACCGTCATAAGATCCGTAGGTGGTTTCTTCTGCATTTTTCGCTCAAAATCTCCGCAATCAGCTTTGGACAGATTTCCTGCAAAACAAAGAGAAACTTATATCAAAATTAGCACAAAAAAGGCTTTCGGACATACTAAACTTAAGAAAAAAGTATTAATTATATCGTGAAACCATGGTATATCAATACGTCATTTCCAAGTGTAAATTATAGAAACAAAATACAAGAAACTATACTTGGCATACTTCTTCCTAACAATGTGGACTACAAGAACAGAGGATGTAGAAGTTATTTATACCTATCTTCCATCTAGGAAACACTGAACAAGTCTCCCAAGCAAACACCCTTAAACTCGGTAGGGGGACACTGACCAAAGCAGGGATCATCAAGAGTACCATCGCCACAGTATGTGCCAAAACATGCTTCCAGACTCATAGGCTTCTAGGTAAAACACCTGAACATCATCCAACATAAAACACAGACTTTATACATCCCTAAAGCATTCACGCAAAGGGAAAGGAACCCTAAAAAACTAAAGCAAGCAAGTTACTAGACTGTCATACGTCCCTGAAGCATGCTTCTTTTTCAACACTTTAAATAGATCATCTGTGTAAATCGATTCTCCACTTGGCATTGCTGATAATAATAAAAACAATAAAAAAATTATGCATATCCTAATCAGTTTCAAAGTATCACAAATTGCAAACTTTGATTTGTAACGAGTATTAGCTTAATTTTCCAATTGCCTAATTATGTCATTAGACGGTAAGTTCCTAACATGAATTGCTTATACACATTCACAACAACTGCGACAAAATATGGATTAAGAATTTCTTATTAGAATGTTACATTTTCACAACTTCAAAATAGGGTCTCATTTTTTACATAGTGACTCAACTAATAAGTTTATTATGTCAGAAAGTCACATTTCTAGTTGATTCCAATTCTTTTCAATGAACAAACAAACTAACTTTCTGAGATAATAATTACTCCAACTGTCCCAGTTTAAGTGTCATGAAGCTAAAGAGTTTCTAATCTTGTGGCGTTAAACTTGCATATGGAATATCAAAATTGAAAAACTTGCTAAATATAAAAAGAAACTCGGCAAACCAAAAAGAAAAGTAAGACCCTTAAATTAGGACAGAAGAAAAAACAAATTAATGCAATGAAGATACTTACTAATAAATCCAGCGGTACCATGATCAGTATAGTATATGAAGATATGGTCATATGGGCCACTCTTCAAAACATTCCCACTTCCTCCAACAACACCACTTTTGTTTGCAAGGATGACATTGTAAACGTTGTTAGCATTAGCATCTTCACCTACATAATCCTGCCTCAACAAAAGAGAAAGAAAACCCCTCATAAGCTAACAAAAACTCTAATCTTGAAAAATTTCTAAAAAATTAAACACAAAAATAACAAACCTTTGGGACACCTTTGTAAACATCATGGCCATGTAGGTTATTGATGATGACACCAGGTCTAGGGTTTTCTGTATTGTTAGCAATATCATTGTACATGAATACAGTGATGTTCTCATCCTGAAGACCACCAGCCTTCATTATTTGGTAAGCGTAACACACATCAGCCTGAAATCATACAATCAAGTTACATTCACAACTTTGTAGCTATGATGAATTGCAACAAAATTCAAAACAAAAAGAAAAATTCTTAAAATTTGTTAATTTTTATCACTCTTGACTATAAATAATTTATCAACTATAAAAGAGTATTTTAAAGTTATATTGTTTTCATTTGTATATAGTTCTTATTTCTCCTATTTATTTTGATTAAAATGTATTTCTTGTTTGTTTGTTTTTTGGGGCGAGAATTGCTAGGTACTTAACACGTGCTTGGACTTTACTAATCTGTCAACTTCATTCAATGTATATCTATACTACTCTCTTTGACTTCATTCAATGTATGTCTATTAAATAAAAACTATTGTATAATAACGTGATTTTAGACAATAAGTTGGTGGTAATTTTATATTATCTAATAAATAAGAATTAAAATTTTAAGTAAAACCATAGTATCAGATTTTTTAACTTTAGATTTTTGTGAATTTCTTGATTTTGTTTTGTGGTTCGATATGCATATTCATGACAAATTTCAGCCTACAGGTATAGTTGCCCATATACCTGGGATATAGTGAACACATTGATCAATATATTTTATATAATTTCAAAGACAAACAAATGGTCCTCCGTAGGTATGGTATGTCTAAGAGAATCTGTGTTTCTCTTTGTTTTTCCAGCTTCCACCAATTTTTACTCAGACAATGATCCTGCGCATTACTCCTAACTTTTGCTCTTATTGATCTAGTAGTTCATGTTGAGCCTGATCCCACTACTTCCCCAAGTATTCTTGATCAAAGAAGGTCTTATAGGTGCATCTAAGAACTTTTATGGATGAAGAACTATGGAGCTTCTGGTAAGCTCAACCATGACTCCAAGACAGTCTATTTCGTTGACCATTCTCTTGCGTATGATCACTTGAGACCTTCCTATCAAGCATCTGTTTCACTCTTTGGTACTGATGTGGAACCTTCTACATTTGAGGAGGCTTGTATATATTCTAGATGGGTGGAAGCACTGTCTCCTAAAATGGCAACCCAGGATGCCAACGACTCTCTTTGAGAACGTACCAGGTCCCTTTCTGTAGGTTGAATGTGATTGTCTATATCTGTCCTGACCTCCCTTTTCCTTCAGCAAGTCTACCATGTGTGTATATCTATAAAAGGTATGACACTAAATTTGCTAAAACATACATAAATGAAAAACAATGATACTCCCTTTGCATAGTCATGAGATGGTTGATTTCTTCAGGCATGATCCATCCAGTTCAGTTTCAGCATCCTCACCTTCAATTTATTTATCTTGACCAGGTCCCTTATCAGAGATTTTGTTAAGATACCAACGATTAATTCTTTGATCTTACTGATATCTCCTTTCTGAAAATGATCCCTTAGAAAGTGATGTATCACATCAATATGCTTATCCTGTTATGGTGGATTGAGTTCTTAGCCATAGTGAGAGAACTCGTGATAGAACATAAGAGATGGGTAGCCAGAGAAACCACTCTAAGAACTTCACATTGTTGTTTGATCCACGGGAGTTGAGCACACCAGCCTGCATCTGTTACATACCTTGCCTTAGTTTTTGAAAGAACAATAAAATGTTGTCTTTTATATCTCATTAAGGAGATATGAGCCCAGAAAATGAGTCAATCCTTCTCTTTCTATCAGCGTGATACCCAACAGACTCTACATCACCATATTCCTCCAAGTCAAAACATCTCCTGATGGATAGAATAGAACCAAGTCCCTGTCTTCTTCAAATGTCTCATGATTCTTTGAGCAACAGTCAAATCTGATTCCATTGGACAACCATGGAATCTTGCATAAATCTTAACACTTGCATCAGTTATATCTGGAACATATCTATCAGAATCTAGCATCGAGTTGGTCTCTATGGGAATATCAGTTGACTTGGCTTCCATAATATGAAACCTCTTCAATAGCTTCTCTGAGTTGGAATTAGGTCCCTATTCTTGAAAAATTGTTCCTTGCTTAGAACTTAAATGAAAATGTCAGCAGTTTGATCTTCCATATAGCAAAGTTTAGAAGTTTGCTTGATTTACAACTCCGAGAAAAAAATCAATTCTTCCATAATGGTCACTTCACAACTCAATAATCATGAGTCCAAAAGACTCTTTACCCAACACACTTCAGAAGTTGCTTCAAAGATGATATCATCGATGTGTACTTGGATAATAAACAAGTCATTTCCTTGTGTTAAAAAGAAGAGGATTTTTTTTTATTTTTTTTCTTTTGAAACCATCATTGAAGAAGAACTCTAGCAATTTGTCAGCTTGTCGGGAACCGAGTAGCATACTTTGCTTCTTTCAAACTGAGCTTGATCAACTTGTGCATTCTCACCTTCACAAATCACATTATCACTTTGAATTGCATCATCTTTGTTCAGCCTTGTCTGCAAGACTGGGTCCCTCATTAGGTTCATCATCTGTATCAACTTCCTTAAGATTGCTGGATTCATGAAAATGATGTTCTTCAACAAGCTCACTGTTTAGCCCATCTCTCTGAAAAGTAATTCTTCCATATCAGAAACTTCTTGTTTTGCACATTCTCAATTGGTTTTAACTCATCAGAAGATCACATGAACACCTTTTGTTAATAAACTATTCTTGTTTTTAGGAACATGATAAGCCTTGTTACACAAAATGTATCTCACAAATTCTTTCATCACCATTGAAATCAAACTTCCTAATATCACCCTATTGGTCACAGGACATATAGTTTTCACCACTTTAGCCAAAAGTTTTTTGGAAGATTAAAATATGCTTCTCTTAAACACAAGCATCACTAACTTTGTCGTTTGCAAATATTATTTTGAGTAGACAGTGGACTAGGTCCCTTGTCACAAGTTTGTTTGGAGAAAAGAGCTTAATTGGCCAAGAATCATGCCTCAAAAAATCGTATTCTCACCTTAAGCATCAAAGGAAGTGACAATCTTATAACTAGCTGTGTTGAGATCATCAATACATGTTCTTGGACCTCCTTTTTGTAAACATTATCATCTAAGAGATCAAGTTGTGAACACACATTTATCTGATAGGAACTTGACTTTGTTACGGTTATCACACAATTTCAAGTCCTTCCTTCACAAAAACAAGTACTATTTCTTGCCCCTACCAAATTAAAATAGACACCTCCACCTTGAAGTGACTTGAGAGAGAGAGAGAGACGAAGTTTCAGTTTATCAATCACGTGCTTTGAGCATCCGCCATTCATGAATCAACATTGACTAATGTTACTTCCTCTCACATATATACCTGATGTTACTTCATCTCACATATATACCATTTCAGTCTAAGTCCCCACTAAACAGATAAGGCATGATAAGTGAACTTTTTGACCAATGAGGAAGAAAATTCTTTCTTATTTTGGGAGTTCTGGCAGTAGGAGTAGGTCCCCTTTTTCTGTACAACTTTCTATCTAGTGTACGAAGAAAGGTTTTCTTGAGACCTTCTAAAGGTTGGACAATCCTTCTTCATATAACCATTGCGTCCACAATGAAGGCACAATAAATTGTTATATTCATACATATACTTACTGTGAGGATTATATGGAGGACTGATGTTTGAACTTCCTATACCCGTCCTATTGTGGTGACCCAGCCACATTTCTCACTCAACATCTTCAATTTCTCTTTGATTTCTAGATTTTTAGTCTCTAGAACAATTAATTGTTCCTCGATAATGGATGCATGATCAGTCAAGGCTAATTTCTCTTTATTGAAATTGTCTAGACTGTTGTTCATAGAGTCTTTTTCAATAGTTAACTCTATAAGAGAGTCAATCAGAACAACAACTAGATTTCAGAACTTCCTAATAGAGTAAGCATTCAAGTTTTGTTTAAGGTCAAAGAGAGTTACCTTTTCTTCATCTTCCTCGTCGTCATATTTTTCCATGAATGCGAACATGCCATCAAACACATTATTATCATCTTTGAAGGCTATCTGACTCACTTGGAGTCTCCCTAGACGGCAGAAGCTTTCTTCACAACATAGACAGCTACAAATTTTCTTGCTTTCTTATCGGGGACCGGGTACTCTTTTCTATCTATCTCTCCTCTAGGTATTTGATACTCTTTGGCTTCAATTTCATGCATGGAGAAATCTCTGATTAAATGCCCTAGCTTTCTACATTTATAGTGTAGGTAGTTTGCATTTGCAGATTGGTTTGAGTTTCATGCCTTTCATAAACCTCTTTGTTTCCTCATTTTTTTGAAACCTTCTCGTTAGGTATGTCATGTCCTCATCTTCATCAAAAGTTTCTTCAGATGTCACCTTGAGAACTAGAGATTTATGTTTCTTTAACTCCTTCGTTGACACTTCTTTATTTTTATTTAGTGGAGCAATCATCTTTCCAGGTTTCTCTCCTTGGTGTTAACCAACTAGAGAGCAACCGCTCTGATACCAGTTAATAGAATGTGTGCGTCCACTATCAGACAATGGACCTGGTCCCTTGACTCATCAAGAACAGTAAAGAAGAGTAAACAATAATGAGAACACAGCACAAATAGTTTACGTGATAAACTCCTTGCTCAATAGAGTAAAACCTCGACCAGCTGTTACACAAGATTTTGCTCAATAGAGTAAAACCATGACCTGTTACACAAGATTTTAAAATGTTTCCACTAATCTCTTCAAGCAAAAGTGAATCCCAGTTGCAATCACGTAAGAAGAATTTATTAATCTCACAACTAAGCAATAACTTTATTACTTAATAAGACTAAGAAGATAGCATACTACTTACTAAGTTATCACCACTAGACAACTTAAAATTCAACCAACCAGCTTTCACACTACCCTTTAAATCAACTAGCTCCAAGATGATTTAGAATTTGACTAAGCAGCAAACAATGGTGCCCATTAAATCAGTTAGACTCAACTGATTTAGACTTTTACTATGAACATTGAACCCTTTATAGTTTAGGAACAAATTTACAATGACACTGTAGAAGAAATAATCCTAATACAACTAAGCTTGCAGCTCTATCAGGCCCAGGTTGGTCTTGAGAATGACTTTTCACTTTGAGTGTTAGCCTTTGGAAAAGTTCTTGAGAAATTTTAAGTTGCAAAAACTTATAAAATAATAGATACAAAACTCAAACTCAAAAAAGATGCTTCAACGCTCTACTGGATCCTTCTGTTGAGTATGAGTAATGTTCTACCTTGAAGATGACTTTACCTTTTAGCTTGTGAGTTTTTGTTTGCCAAAATCTGGTGTTTGTGTTATTGGAGAAGAAGCTTTAATGAAATGAACACAAACCCTTGGAACGAGGCCATTGACTGAAAGCCTGCTATCATATAAGGTTGTGCACAAAGGCGGATCTAGGATTTGAAAGTCGGAGGTGCCACAACATTCAATTAAGATAAAAGGACTGGTTGCTTTAATTTTGGGTTACAATTCGGGTTATTAATTTTATTTTATTTTTATAAATAAATCGATCAAATGTTCCTATAGTAATATTTTCTTTTAGATTTTATGTGATCAGAGATTAATAAACAATTCAATTTTTATTCTCTTTTTGAAATTAGATGCCTTATTCGCTGAAACTTTGAGAAAAATAAAGTCACGTTAAAATTTGAGCTTATATAAACCATCTAATAATATTAACATAATACATTTATCTTCCATTGACTTTATGTGATGTTGGAGATATATAGTTGGGAAATAATAAAAATTGTAGTTTCAGCCTATTCATCTTACTTAGAAAAACGTCGGTGAAGATCGAAAGACCTTTAAATTAATAAAAAACATTTTTGAAACTTATGTTTTTTCTAAAAACTATTATTTAAATATATTCTTAATAATATTTAGTTGCCGCTGATAATTCAGTACTCACTAATTGATAAAACAAAATAAACATGTTACACTCAAATCAATAGATTAATAATTAGTGCAAGAGTAAGTAAAATATATAAAAATTAATTATAAAAGGGATTAATTTGAATTAATAAAGAATAGTAAATAAATAAGGATGAATGAAAAGGGGTTAATTTGAATTAATAAAGAACAGTAAATAAATAAGAATGAATGGAGAAAAAGAAAAGAAAAAGAAAAAGAAAAAAAGGAGCAAGCAAAAAAATCTAAATGTTGTTGTTGAGGTTCAAACCCGGGTTGATGAGGTGGCAGACACTCACCTTAGCCAATTGGGGTATTCCATTGTATAGTCACTAGATGACAAAAGTAATATATATTTAATTATTATACATATATACATGTGTATACAACGTTTTTGCCGAAAACACTGGGTGTCGTGGCACCCCCACCCGTACACCTAAATCTTTCCCTGGTTGTGCACCAACCACATCAGTTGGCTGTCTTTTGATAGTTGTATTTTCGTCCTCTTTTCATTTCATACTTTTGGGACCAGGTCCCTTGCTGCATTCTTTAAGAGTTTTTAAAGACTTGTTGGCTGACTTCCTCCTTTCAACAAATGATTTCAACACCCTGGTCAACCATAAAGAGTTATTACCCGTTAGATCAACACCCTGGTCAATTCTGATTAGTACAGTACGCAGGTGCCTCACCAACCACTGATTAACGAGACAACTTTACAGTTGTAACTCATTATGATCTAATGGTAAAAATGTCGGGGATTAGGTCCCTGTATTTGTGAGGATCATCCTATAATATAACTAAGAGAGCTATTGATTGGGTGCAAGTGGATCTTTAAAATCAAATACCAAGCTTCTGGTGAGGTTGATAGATTTAAAGCTAGATTAGTTGCCAAATGGTTCAATCAAAGGGAGGGCCTACACTACCAAGAGACCTTCTCACCAGTGGTTAAAATGGTTAGAATTAGAAGTGTCTTAGCCCTTGCTGCAACTTGTAAATGGAATATCCATCAAATAGACGTTTTTGATGCATTTTTTCAGCGGTAACTTTTTTGAAGAATATGACACTTGACT